TCGAAAACGATTTGTGTTCTACAGGTTTACTTTACCAGTACATCTTGGCGACAAATCTGGTGGCGTATAAACCAGTCTTTTAAATATACCTTTTATCAGTGTTTTTATACATATGGTCTGAAGAAAACAGTGCTATTCCTGTGTGCCTGTTTTTTATCATACAGACCTCGAACACAATTTATTTTTCCTTGCCCTATTTAAACCTATAATTCTGCAGTTTTTCACAGTTTTGCGAGACAAATTGCGCTCATTCAATACCCAGTACGATCGAAGCACGCACCTCCTTTGAGCAAGAAGTCATAGAATTGACCACGTTATAAAACGTTTTCATGAAGAGAATTTTCCATAATACTGGGACTGTTTAGTCGGAAAAATCTGCTCCTATGTGATATATAGGGCAATTATTATGGGCTTTTAGTGAAAACGATAAAAAAATTCCCAAAATCACCTATACGGCCTGCTGGACGGGCTCTCGAGGCCCTGCCAGGGTAAATTCCGACAAGCAACAAGGCCCGAAAAGTAGCGAGAGCGCGTAAAATGAAATCGTCACAAGAGACAGTCTCCCTCAGCCAAATTGCGACAGTGACGGCAAAACCGACAATAAGCGACATGCATTTATAAACACCGACACGAGACGTTTTAAAATTCAGGCGGGCGACATAGGACCCCACCCCCCCCCCCCACCAACTTTATTAGAGTCTCATGTCTTCTTGCTCAGACACGGTGCCTTACTAATGTGAATGAACATTAATAAAGCTAAGCTTCAACATGATAGAGAACTTACTATGTTTAGGTTTTATTTTCCTTTATTTATGGTTTTATGTGTTACGCGGCATTTTGAGTAGTCTTGCGTGCGATGTTTTGTTGTTTCATTATATGTTCGACTGAAAACAACCTGTGCAGCGATTACATTGCGAAAGAGACTACTAACAATCAGTAAAATAAGTATAACTCGGTGAAATATGTACAGAGACAACAATTTTCATTCACGACGATAAGTTTTGTGAGTAAGTGTCCCTGAAAATTATGAGCATAAGCTCATAAACTTCAAAAACATTGCAGATTTAAGCCGGCTTCCGGGTGTTTACTTCAAGATGAACCGCGAGGCAAGAATATCGCTCAGAGCTTTCTTTTTATAGCCAAAAGCATAACTAAATATATTGTATTCTTCGGAACGTTTACTTTGTATTTGTGGTTAGAAATGTTAAGACTTTTTAAAAATCTGTAAGGTCATGTCAAACCTGATGCTATTGTAGGTCAGATCATTGTCATGTGCATAAACTAGACGCAGAAACTACGTTCGACTTTAAGAAACCAGAAAAAAAACACATCAAATACAATAATAACTCAGGCTTACCAGTCAAGATGCAGCTCCTGAAGGCCATCAGAATCGCTTGAGACTTTTTTGAACCCTCTTTATAATAAGTCAAAGTAAAAGCGATCTATCCGAAATCGGATTTCCGATGACTTTGCCTAGCGGCGCATTTCTCAACCAAAAAACCAATAAACAAACCAGCCACGAATAACTTAAGAATCTTGCTAGCAGCTGTATTTCATTTTGTGCATCCAGTAGAAAAAGACAGTTAAAAGCTTCACAACGTTACGCAAAACTCTGTCAGTTTCAGCTAACAGTAAACAAGTTTCAAGATGCTGCATAAATTTTCCGCATGAACTCACCTGTCAACTTTTGACCAATCAGAACATAAAAATTGGACGTAGAGCGTGACCAACGCGTGACCTTGGTGAGAAAGGTCAAAAGCAACTTCCCTGTCTGTAAAAGTTGGCTGAATTCTCGCGTCCAAGGTCAGTTTGAAATTAAAAGTTTTTTTAGTGCGGCTCATAAACACAACTTCCTATTTTCTATGCGTTAAAAAAATTGAACTTAAGCCTGCAATCATCCGAAAGTAGTAACTTGTCAGCGGATAACTTCAAAAAACTCGAACTCGGTAGGCCGATACGTGAGTCCGCGATACGGTCAGGTGATGATGGTCAGCGGATGCTGTAGTTTGACAGCTGTCAATTGATTGAACTTCATTAGAATGGCGAATTTTTGAATAAAAGGACTGTTGACTGCGAGTGTTAGTAAGACATTTCAGTCTGGCAGATCGTGTTTTTGAGCCCTCGTTGTTAGTGATCTGATAGTGGTCTTCACGAGTCCCATTTTGACAGCTGTCAATTGACCTTAATTTGGCTAGCGCGTATAACTTTAAACTTCTGGCAGCCTACCGACAGCCCTGGCCGGTCAAAGCGAAGTTTCATTTCATTTTCATTTTTATGTTTGTGTGACATATCAGCTTATATGTAGGGGAAAACGGCTGGTCTTTCATCTGAGTCCGCGAGATGGTCATGTGATTACTGTCAGCGGATGTCTGATTTTGACAGCTGTCAATTCATCCTCATACGGATGGCTTACAAAGTGTTAATTTCGCCAAGATGTGACATTTGACATCAGCTTATATGAAGTGTGTGTACGGGTGGGCTACGCTACGTCATAACCAAATTTTCTCGGATGGATAGTTTACCAAATTTTCTTACCCATGGTGCTCCGCAGGCGCGCGCTTCGCGCGTGCGAGAGCTCCGCTAATAATAGAAACAGAAAACGGCGAACTCAAACTCCTTCAAAACCGCTCAGGCAAAAGGACGACTATATACCACAGGTAAGGTAATTCAACGTTAATTTAACATCGATTTACATACATACTTAGCGATATATCGCTATGGGTGAGGCAAACGGTAAATCCAGTACATTTTACTGTAAAATAACGGCGGTTACACACAAAGATTGTGTGGGAGCAGTGTGGGGTAAATCATTCCACATTACATTGAACCATTTGCGTATGACTTGAACCATTTCTAAATGTTTGCACGAGTTCTTATTTTAACAAACCATTACGCAACAGTGCAGCCGACCGTTCGTTATCAACCTCGTTCATTTCGCACATCGTATATCTACCTGGAGTTTTGAAAACCGGGTTGCCTGAAATCTTAAGTCAAGTTCAGCACATTGCAGGCAATCTTTTAAAACTTAATTTGCTTAAAGCCCTTATACTTTTAGTGTAAAAATAACAATCTCGCTCTTCAGGACTAACCACCTTCACCTCTTAACCATGGGCTCCAAATAACTTCCTAGAATTGACGGAAATCAGTGCAGATTCCAGAAAATTTGCACGAGGGGGGCAACAGCCCGTCCCGTTGTTGCCCCCGTTGGCCCAGCTAATATTTTTTGAGGGGGCTTCCCTCAAACTAAGTGTCATGTTGTTGAACAGTCATGGGGCTATCATCTGGTATGCATTTGGGGTAGCCTGGTTAAATTCCAGGGGGGTGGGGTTGTTGTAAAGACTATGCTTTGTGCTAGAGTGCAGATTTGCCGAGTTTTTGTACCTGGGCTTACCCCTGTCTTCGAAAGCTAAATGTCTCCCTCAAATTGGGGGGGGGGGGGTTGTGTCTGGCTGGGTGCCATGTTGTTGCACAGACACGAAGCAATCGTCTGGTATGCATTTGGGGTAGCCTGGTTAAATTTCAGGGGGATGGGGTTGTTGTAAAGACTATGCTTTGTGCTAGAGTGCAGATTTGCTAAGTTTTTGTACCTGGGCTTACCCCTGTCTTTCAAAGCTAAATGTCTCCCTCAAATTAAGGAGGGGTTGTGTCTGGCTGGGTGCCATGTTGTTGCACAGACACGAAGCAATCGTCTGGTATGCATTTGGGGTAGCCTGGTTAAATTCCAGGGGAGTGGGGTTGTTGTAAAATTTTGATGTTTTTGCACTCTTATGCAGTTTGTTCGTGCTGTTTGCATGCAAGCAATGACCGACTCTGTTGATAATGTTCCTAGTCAGCAAGCAGTTGAACTGCTGGTTTTAGGACTTGGTTTTGTTGAGCAGTGTTGGCTTAGATTGTTTTTGGGAGACCACCTTCAATTAAAAATGGGGTGAACTGGGGAATTGGCTTTGAAATCGGTGACACCGACACTAAAAATTGCTTCTTAAAATGCCTTATTTTCCAGATTAATGAGAAAAACGTCACTTTTGTTGCCTTCAAGACAGACTATTCTATCAAATAGAAGCTCATGTATTCAGTAATTTCTTTTTGAGGTGAGATTTTACTTTTCAAGTAACAAGGGCCATCAAATTAACAATCAGTGCGAGAGACTGACATTTTTTAGTAGCCGGGTTTTCAAAAAACCAGGTATATATATATATATTGATGGATTATAATTTAAACAAACTGATTCTTGTTTGGCCGTATCGTTTTAACGTCTACCAGTGAACAGGTTCTCATCTGACCAAATGGTTTGTAGTTTAGGTGAACCATTTCACACAAAACAACCAGACTATTTTAGGGACCGGTCATTTATTAGAAGGGGGGTGGGCTAATGCATTTTAATTTTCCTATACATAATTTCCCGTGGGCCTGTTCTTGCCACTTGTTACGAAAAATTGTATTGCGAGACGTGCCTTTCTAGAAGCTTCGCGAGAGTTCATAGTTTGTTTATTTTAGGATCTTGTCTAAGCGTTTCTAAAGCGGTATATTTTTTAACTCTATAATTAGACTATTTAGAAATTTCTAGAATCTTATTGTGGAAGTATATAAGTAGGCTAGTCCGAGTGAAGTTTTAACTAGTTTTCACAAGAGAAGAGAGTTTGACGTTAGTCTTGTTTAGTCAAGTGTGACAAAAGAAGTGTTTTTTCAAGTTGGCGGAGGCCGTGTAAGTTTATCAAGTTAAGTGAAGTTGGCGGAGGCCGTGTAAGTTTAAAGAGTTAAGTGCTGTTGTGGAGTTTTACTTCGCGGAAACTACGTTCATTTTTGGAATAAATCTTCTTGCTTCTTCTTGCTGTTCCGACAACCCTGCGTTCAGTTTAGTTTGCAAGCTACCCGTCCTCTAAAAGATTACCCGCGTAACATTGGGGGCCTGTCTTGGGAGAGGAATTCAATTGTTTGCCGACTACGGTAACCAGAAAACGACAGTTTAAGAAGAAGGAGCATACAGAGAAGTAAGAAGAACTGCTACGAGGAAGTATATAGAGTGTGTTAACTGTGATCTACTGCTGTGAAAATAGATAAGTTTATAAAGATTGGAGCAAAATTCGGATTGGCGGGAGAAAAACTGCTCGAGTTTGTGCGGGAGCAACTGAAGTTAGAAGAGGAAAAAGAACAAATACGTAGACAATTGGAAGAGGAAAAGGAAGAAAAGCATAGGCAGTTAGAAGAAGAAAAGGAAGAGAGACGTCGAATACTCGAGGAAGACAGAAGAAAGGAAGAAGAAGAGAAAGAGGAAAGGCGTAGAAGAGAAGACGAAGAAAGAGAAACTATAGGCGGCAAGAACGCGATCTGAGAAAATTAGAGCTGGAAGCGGAACTGTTGAAACAGAGAGAGGCTATTGAAGCTGCTAAGACAGTGCATGAACTAGAGCTCGCCCGTCTAGGACAAGGCCGTAACGATATCGAACGTGCTGACGTGAGAGAGGATAGGGCCAAGGCACCCAAGCTTCCCTCATTTGTTGATGGCAAGGACGACTTGGATGCTTACCTACAACGATTTGAGAGATTCGGAACAACAGCTAAATGGGAGAAGACAGGATGGGCTTCGAAACTTAGTGCTCTTTTGCCTGGACGTGCCCTAGAGGTTTATTCGCGATTATCTGAGGAAGCAGCCCAAGATTATGACCGAGTGAAGTTAGCTTTGATGCAGAGATATGACCTTACAGAGGACGGCTATCGTCGTAAATTTAGAGCATCAGAGCCGGAAGTTGACGAGAGTCCTGAGCAGTTTATAGTGAGACTGGATAGATACTTGTCGCGTTGGCTAGAACTGTCGAACACTGAACGATCGTTTGAAGGCCTGAAAGATTTAATTGTGAAAGAACAGTTTATTGACTCTTGTCCAAAAGAGTCAACTATTCACTTTCGTGAAAGAGCCCCGGAAACGCTTGTTTAGATACACGGAAAGCATCTGTTCAGCTCTGCGAGCAAGAAGCCGCAAATACAGCCCAAGGCGGAGGAAACAAAGACTACGCAAAGTGACACAACAGCCCTCCAGCGTTACAAGTGTAATGCCCGCGGACACAAAGCTACTATATGCCCAACTCTAGCTAAAAGGTGTCTCCTATGTGGCAAGCAAGATCATGAAGCGAGGAACTGTCGATCAGGTGGACGAAAGTCAGGAGGCCAAGGTAAGGATGGCAACCCTGTGCAACGGGGTCAAGTTAGTGCTGGCTGTTTGGTTAAGTCACCCGATCTTAACGCTACACCCGAGGAAGTCAAGTCGTGTATTCAAAATGATCAGCTTCTGTTAGCCTGTGGCATGTGTTGAACCCTTAACTGGAGTAAGAAGATGCCTGTTGTAAAGGGCAGAGTTGGAAAGAAGACTGTCGACGTTTTAAGAGATACTGGTTGCAGTGGAGTTGCAGTCAAGAAGGACCTTGTCGCCCAGGATCAGTTCACCGGAGACTTTAACGTTATGTTGCTTATTGACAACACAGCAAGGAAGGTGCCTATAGCAAGAATTTATGTTGATACGCCTTATCTTAAGGACCATGTAGCAGCGCAGTGCCTTTCAGGTTCTATCTACGACCTAATTATTGGCAACGTACCTGATTCCAGGGATGCACAAAATCCATACCCCAGTTGGCAAGACGCATGTGCAGTAACTACAAGAAGTCAAGCTAAGAAAAAGGATGAACGCATGGCCTTGAAGGTGCCTAGTAGCAGTGAGAGTCCTATTGTGGATAGAGAGAAGCTCAAGCAGATGCAGCGCGAAGATGAGAGTCTGAGCAAGTACTGGCATCGACACGATGTGTTAGTAAATGGTCAGGCGGAGACTTCATTTGAAGAAAACTGTGGAGTACTGTACCGTCTGTCCAAGCACCCTTATGTGAATGGTGGTAAACCGCTTAAACAAGTCATGGTATCTGAAAAGTTGAGACGCTCCATAATGAAAGGAGCTCACGGATAGTTCATGGGCGGTCACATGGGCATCAAGAAAACAACAGACAAGATCCAGAGTGCGTTTTATTGGCCTGGAATTCAAGGTGACGTAACTCGATTTTGCAAGCCCTGTGACGTTTGTTAGAAGACTGTAAGTAAGAGATCAGTGCCGAAGGTACCGTTAGAGATGATGCCGCTGATTGACAAGCCCTTTAAGAGAGTAGCAATAGATCTTGTTGGGCCTATCAGTCCTCCGAGTGAAGACGGACACAGGTACATACTGACGCTGGTAGATTTTTCGACTCGCTACCCTCAGGCTGCACCACTAAAGAACATTGATACGTAGCAGAGGCATTGGTAGATATCTTCAGCCGTCTAGGTGTACCCGAAGAAATCCTGAGTGATATGGGTACACAGTTTGTTTCTGATTGCATGAGAGAAGTCACCCGACCACTAAGCATTAAACAGCTTGCAACAACACCCTATCACCCGATGTGTAACGGTTTGCCAGAGAGGTTCAACGGAACGATGAAGTCTATGCTGAAGAGACTGTTTAGTGAGCAGCCAAGACAGTAGCATCGCTACATAAACCAACTGTTGTTTGCTTATCGTGAAGTCCCCCAAGAGTCCACTGGTTTTCGCCGTTCGAGCTGTTACATTGTTAGAGGACCACTGACTATACTCAAACAGCTGTGGACAAAAGAAGTTGCGGAGCCTGAAGTAAAGAACAGTTACCAGTACGTTTTCGAGTTGCGAGAGAAGTTAGAAGATACCCTTAAGCTCGCCCACAGTGAATTGGAGAAAGGTCAGCAGAAAGGAAAGCACTATTACGGCCGCAAGTCTAAAGTTAGGAAGTTTCAACCCGGTGAGAAAGTGCTTGTGCTGCTACCTACCGACCATAACAAGTTACTTATGCAGTGGAAAGGTCCCTTTGAAGTTAGTTCAGTAGTAGGTCTCAATGACTACAAACTGAAAGTAAAAAGCAAGGAGAAAGTTTACCACGCTAACCTACTTAAAAAGTATTTTAAGCGAGAGGAGACTACAGTCGAACGAGAAGTAGCTGTTGGAGCAGGCGCTACGAGTATAGACGATGCTGTCGACTGTGCAGCTAGAGTTGATGGTCGAGGTAGAGGAAGAAGAGGTTGATTTCTTAGAGCTTGGTGGATATGTAGCCAAGGAGTCAGTCGAGGATGTTACAACTGGACCGAATCTTACTGACGAGCAACGGACTGAATTTACGGATCTGACTAAACAGTTCACGAATTTGTTTACTGAAGCACCAGGTACCAGAGATCTTGTTCAGCATCATATTAAACTCACCTCAGACGAGCCAGTTAGATCAAGACCTTACCCTGTGCCTTACAGCATGAGAGAATCGCTGAGAAAAGATATTGCTGACATGATAAAGGAAGTTATTAGAGAGTCCAGGTCTCCGTATGCGTCACCTGTTGTAGTGCGCGTTGATTATCGGAAATTAAATAAACTAACTGTATTTGATCCTGAGCCTATGCCAACTGCTGAACACTTGTTCCAGAAGCTTAGCGGAGACAAATTCTGACCTTAGCAAGGGATATTGGCAGTATAACTATACCAGAGTAGGACATACCGAAAACTGCGTTTGTAACACCTGACGGGTCGTACGAGTTCTTGAAGATGCAGTTTGGAATGATTAACTCGGCGGCAACACTGAAGCTTGCAATGAAGATCTAGATTATGTCGACTTCTACTGGGATGATATATTGGTTCACACCCGTACGTGGGAAGAACATGTTAGAGCCCTCACAGAGCTGTTTTCGCGCCTTGCACAATGCAAGCAGGGTTGACTATTCTACAAAGTGCCTATTCGGAGTAAACAGTGTGGATTTCCTAGGCCATCGACTGGAGCAAGGAGTGGTTGGTCTACATCAGGATAACGTGGAGAAAGTTAAAGATGCCCCAAGGCCAAGCACAAAGAAACAGGTGCGGTCATTTATAGGTCTAGCAAGATACTACAGAGATTTCATTCCCAACTTCGCAGCGATCGCAGCGCCCTTATCTGATCTCACACGGAAAGGCCAACCCAACAAAGTAGAGTGGAGTGAAGCACAAGAAAAAGCATACCAAACAATCAAGTCTTAGCTAACAAGTGAACCTATTCTACGTCTCCCCGACTCCGCTAAAACCTATTTCTTACAGACGGACGCTTCCAACAATGGAATTGGTGCAGTATTGATGCGAAGGCACGATGAGAAATTATTCCCGGTTTGTTATGCAAGCAAGAAATTGTCAAGTGCGGAGCGCAACTACTCTACAATCAAGAAAGAATGCCTAGCGATTGTATGGGGAATCAAGAGATTTCAACTATAATTGTACGGTGTACCTTTTGTGCTGCAGACAGACCACGAGCCGCTGAAGTACATGGACAGCGCAAAATATACCAACGGACGACTCATGCGATGGGCGATGTTTCTACAAAGTTACAATTTCAAGGTGGAAGCCATCAAAGGATTTGAGAATGTTGGAGCGGATTATCTTAGTCGAGTAGAAGAGTAACCTGAGAGACACCGGACTACCATTGTTGTATATTAGCTAACAATTTTTCTGTTGTATAGGAAATTTAGGAAATTTCTTCTGAAAGGGGGTTATGTTACGAAAAATTGTATTGCGTGACGTGACTTTCTAGAAGCTTCGTGAGAGTTCATAGTTTGTTTATTTTAGGATCTTGTCTAAGCGTTTCTAAAGCGGTATATTTTGTAATCTTTCTATAATTAGACTATTTAGAAAGTTCTAGAATCTTATTGTGAAAGTATATAAGTAGGCCAGTCCGAGTTAAGTTTTGACTAGTTTTCACAAGCGAAGAGAGTTTGACGTTAGTCGTGTTTAGTCAAGGGTGACGGAAGCAGTGTTTATTCAAGTTGGCGGAGGCCGTGTAAGTTTATCAAGTTAAGTGAAGTTGGCGGAGGCCGTGTAAGTTTAACGAGTTAAGTGCTGTTGTGGAGTTTTACTTCGCGAAAACTGCGAAACTTCATTTTTGGAATAAATCTTCTTGTTGCTGTTCCGACAACCCTGCGTTCAGTTTAGTTTGCAAGCTACCCGTCCTCTAACATAACATAACATAATGCACCCCACCTTCGAGTGTGCACATTAAATAAGATGACCCGCCCTCAACCAGAGGAAGGGTTCTAATACAACTTAAACAAAACTCACCGAACCATTTAAAGCAAATAGAGAGTAGCCCTCCTCCCAGATCTAGTAGTTGTCACTGTGATCTGAGTATCATCCCCTTCCTCATCATCATCCCCTGAACTCGAGCCAATCTCGGCAAGGACATAATCTGTTTGAACACGTTCATCATCAGAAGTTAAGTATTCCTCTTCATTTTCACTACTGCAGAGTGGACCTCCCTCTTCTTGTGTAAAAACGTGTCTGTTGTTGAATAATATGCCTTCTCACCTCCATTTCTCTGCAGGAAGCTTCTCCAGGAGAGCTATTAAAGAAGCCACAATAAAGCCCATAAGCATCTTCAAAGGAAATGAAACAAATTGCTTTTCTCGAATGCTTACTTTGTGCAAGCAACTGATTTAAGATGTAAATCAAGCCATTCAATATCTTGCCCAGTAACTTGCTATTAGTACATGAGCAATCCCTCTAGCTCTTCCAAGTTGTTGCCCACTTTACACGTTTCGAGAAAACCTCGAAGGTGTTTTCCTACACAAGACTCGAATCTTGCTTTGCTTCTTGATTCAGAGAACGAAAAGCTGCACTCTTGTCCAGTTGATATAAACTTGAATTCCTGTTCACAATGTTCATCCTTCTCTGACTTGTTGTCATTGATCTCGATATCCGCCATGTTTTATAATTCCATGCTTTGAACCACTGAATGACTAGAACTTCTGTTCCCAGTACTCCTGGGATTCTTGTGTAAATACAAAATGGCGGATGAAAAGCAGGTTAATGAAC